TGTTTTCAGTCACGAACAATTGTATGTTGCTTTATCAAGAGGTGTTTCGCGGGCTGCAACAAGAGTGCTAATTAAAGACGGAAGAGTAACTGTGGAAGAAGGGGAGTTTACAAAAAATATAGTTTTTAAAGAAATTTTGTTGTCACAAACTCAGGTATTTATCTATTTTGTTTAATCATTCAACTATACTTTTGCAATCTCACACTATGCGTGTACTTACTAGATTACACTATATCGTTGACTACTAAAATTTACTTCATTTGTTTTGCAGTGAAACAAGAGATATTTTTGATTTTGATTACATGGTTAACCTTCCTATTAAGCAATAATGTAACTCAATATCCGTGTTAATGTTTATGTTTAGTTGCTTAATAAATTGCGAGAAAGATTTTTGTTCTTCTTCTATCTAAATCTTTTTATGGTTTTGACTAATCTATAGCAATATATAAATACAAAATTCAATGTGTCATCATATAAATAATTTATATTAAAATCAATATAAATAATTTATAGTAAAATTAAATTTATAAAAAAATACGCTGATAATATTTTTGCGCGTTAACGCAATAAAAAAAGCGGACAAACGGACACGGACGGAACACTAGTAATTAATAATTGTGATAATAATAATATTCATAACAAAACAAAATATGATTAATAAAAATAATATCCATAATGAAACAAAATATCATTAATCAAATTATCTATATCCACCCGTAGAAGATTCGTGGATGAGTTTTGTCCGAAGGTGTAAATGAAACTACTTCATCTGAATGGGTTGTTGTTGCGACGAAGACGACGGTGATATTCTCCGCCATCTCATGAATTCTAATTTGGCTTCCCCTTCATCCACCCAAACCCCACCTCCTCCCACTTCAACAGTAATCTCACCAATGAATTCTCATTTCTCCGCACTATCCTCCACCGACACCCTCCAAATCATCTTCGAGAAGCTTCCGATCCCCGATCTCGCCCGTTCCAGTTGCGTCTGCCGGGTCTGGAACTCAGTAGCCTCGCAAAGAGATATCGTAACAAGAGCTTTCCTAGCACCATGGAAATTGAAGGACGTAGTTGGAAACCCACTCTCTAGAAGCTTCTGGAGAGACAATTCACTCGCCAAATTCGCAATCTCGCATCGCATAGTACGAGGGGACAGCGTTGCTAGTCTCGCTGTTAAGTACTCCGTTCAGGTTTGTCTGCTACCGACTAGGGTTTATAATCGACTGTGTCTTTTACTTAGTTTCACAAATTGAAATGCACGATTTGTTTTAGATAATATGCCCGTGTCTTTTTGAAATTGATTAGAACGAAATTACGAAATCATAGCTGAAATTGAAAATTATGGGTGGGTTGGAGGGAAGATCAACTTTTAGGCCAGCAAATGTTCTGGCGTAGGTATGTCTGGGTAGGAGGAAAACATGTTGTGTAGATTTGACCGGGGTTTTTCCACCGGTGGGATTGAGGAACAGAGATTTTATTGTGGGACAGACAACTCTCAAAGCCGTTTCATGTAAAGTGGCCAAACATGAGAAAAAATCAACATGCTTTCATACCATTTGCCTTCAATATTTTTGGTTTTCTAGCACCAGAAGCGGTGGATCTTTTACAAAGAGTGCAAAGGTTCATGCATAACAATGTTGTGTCACCTAGGACAATGAATATAGTTTTTAAGAAGATTGATTTTGCCATCTAAAAAGGGATAGCGGCACAACTTGTTGCTTGTTTGCCCGCTATTTCTCTATAATCTTGATTATATTAATAAAAAATTAGTGTTTATAGTCTATTTTAGAACTAAATTGATCCATCCTATTGATCACTATGATCAAGTTAATATTGTAGCCTTTTAGACTATATTTGGATATCATAAAATGAACGGTTAGAATTGAGCGGAGTAGAGTGGAGTTGAATGTAGCAGAATGAAGATTTCATTCAATCGTTTGGAAAATTTAAGACGAAACAAGGCAAATTCTTCATTCTGCCCAAGTTGGAGGGGAAGAAATATGGTTGTAAGTAATAGAATGGAATGTAATCTATACCACTCCATTTTGCTTTGCTCCATTTGATTTTAAATAACCAAAAGAATAAAATACCACTTCATTCCATCCCATACGCACCACCCTTTCCGATCCCATCAATCCAATCATAGCCCTAGAGATATCGTTTTGAAATTGTTAAGAGTGGAGCGATCCATCCTTTCCTTGTTTTGTTCCTGGTTTTTCCTGTTTAATAACACATGGAAGAATTTGATAAACTGTATCGGCCTTCTGATGATAGTTTATTTTTTTACTACAACAGGTGATGGATATAAAACGATTGAACAACATGATGAGCGATCATGGCATATACTCGAGGGAAAGGCTATTAATTCCTATTAGTAATCCTGATATTCTTATTAAAAGAACTTGCTTTATTGAGCTAGATGTTAATGCTAAACGAGAAGTTGCAGTGTTGTACCCTGATGATGTACCAGACATAAAGAGTAGCTATGTATCAACCAGAATATCCTCAGAAGAAACTAACAAAAAGGTGCTTGATTCCTTGAAGAGAAGCATGCAAGTTGACAGTGAAACCGCTCAATATTACTGGTCTGTTTCAAATGGTGATCCTCGAGCTGCTCTTGCTGAATTTTCTTCAGACCTTCAGTGGGGTAGGCAAGTTGGTCATTCCTAGTCTTTGGAAGAGGTTAAATTCAAGTTCGAGCCTTGTTTGAAATAATTGGGAGGTTTGGTGACCGGTAAATGGATAATAAATTATCAAGAATTCAAGATGTTGGGTCAGGCAAGTGTCTGCTTTAAATCTACTATATTATCTTAGCTCTTCTGCATTGAAGACTTGAAACTGGAATAAGTCACTTCCTGCTTGGTGAGATGTGTTCAAAATTTGTGTAACTTGTAATTGTTTATAAGTATATCTATACCAGAAGCCAATGTATTACTATTATTTTTAAAACTGAAATTGAAACTGCATTTAGTACATAAGAATTTGATTTAGCTCACAGTTCACACTTTAGAACTTCAGAGCATTCACATATTTAGTAGTGCAGATAAAAATAAATACTAAGGATAGTGTTTAAAAAAGTAACGGATACCAGGAATATTGTTGTGTTGTGCTTTTTCCTTAGCTCTTAAGTATTATATTATGGTATGTGTAGAATTTAACCCTTTCAGAATCTTACCAAGTAAGTTTATCCTCCTACCTCAAAGATAAGGATGTGTGGGGAATCAGAATCTACTTTTGAAACAAAATATTTGATACTATTCTGTTTTAATCTTGTCTTTTTTGGAATAGTTTAAAATTACTTTACTGCTTTCTATGAGTCTGTCTCGTGCTGTCTGATGCAAGAACCTTCCGATTGAGAATAGCAAAATGGTTTGATTGATTTCAAGGCAGTGTGAACTTCTTTTCATGCGGCATAACACTTTGGTGTTGAATACCAAAAACTTTAAGATTTTAGAGCTTTTCAAACAATTGTTGTCCTCGTCTTGATATTGTATTCAGAGAGATTTGACAAATGCTATTATGACTGATCTAACTAGATACATTGGTAAAATATTATTTTTATCATTAATAGTTTAATAAGCTACCACTCCCTGCTTAATATGGCGGTATTGAGATTTGAGATATTAGAGAAACCACAAATGACCATGTGAAATAGGAGCGTTGAAACAGTATCATGAAGACGTGAACTTATAACAAATCAATTTATGACCATGTGAGATAAGACCAAGTTCCAAAATGAAGAGGCAAAACTATCTATCTCTTCCCACCGGGCGAGTTTCGTGCACGGGGTTTCGTAACTTTACTCCACTTCAGAATCAGGACCTCACATCATGTGTGAAATGCAGAATTTTACATAACCAAAAAGTCTAAAATACCATCAAATTTTGGACTTACGGAATGACACCATTCTTTATCGATTGCACAGTTTATCTCATAACTTGCACCACACCTCAGATCACTGTTGTACAAAGCAGTGCTCAATGCTGCCGTCTTCACTTTGTTCCATATACACATGCGCCCCCCTAAACACCAATTTAACGATTTAAGTGAGGACTAAAACTTACTAGAAATTAAGACTAGGAGCTCAAAAAATTTATTTTTATATACAATTCTGATTTATGATTAAAAAAATAATTTGTAAAATTGAAAAATAAAAACTTTTATTTATATATAGCACCACCAATATTTGATCCATTTAATCGACTATTTTAAATCAGTTTTGACATCAAATGGTTTCAGCTCGTTGCCGATAAAATGTCAATCACTTTGGACCACTTTGGACCAAATAATTATGTGACACTATAAATTGGATAAACAAGATTTCAATATCAACATGCAATTAACTGTAATTAATGATATGAATCCATTTTTCTAGGCTAATTTATTTAGGACCAACATTTCGATAAGTGAATTTTCATTATTCAATCAAATAATTTTAGTTAATATCAATTATTTTTTATTTTATTTTAAATTAATCATAATTAAAAGTATAAATACACAATTAAAACTCATAAGTATTAAAAAAAGTATTTATATTTAAATATAATATTAAAAAAGTATCATCAACGTTTATTAAATGGTAAATTTCTTTTAAATATAATATGGATTTGTTGGTCATAAAAGATATGATAAATAAATTACAAAATAAAAATTTAGATAAATACTTGATAAAGATACCATAATAAGAATGCTAGTCTTATTAGTTTATAATTTTATATGTTTGATACATATTTAATAATGATAATGATAAAATAAGTATTAAATTTAATTTCTTTTTCTTTATGACCCAAAATTTAAATTCTTTTAGAAAATTATATAAATTTGTTTAAAATTAATTTCAAAGTAAATATTAGATACATAATTTATTGTATTCGGTTGATATTCTGTGTGTCTATAAAAGGCAAAGTAAACACAATTCTTTCATATCACAATTCACAAGCATTAACAGCTTTTTACTAAACAAACATTGTCTCTTTCCTTTGTCCATTTTGTTGCTGAAAATGATTCATAACACTCGCCACCATGTTGAAGGGACCGTTGTGTTGATGAAAAAAAGTGTGTTGGACTACAACGATTTCACAGCTTCCTTTCTTGATGGTCTTCATGAGTTTGTCGGTGAAGGAGTTTCTCTTCAACTCATCAGTGCTGTTAACACTGATCCAGGTTAGTTTATGTTCTTCCTTTCTTGCTCTATACGTTTCCTGATGAAAAAAGAAACTATTACTAAACTGTTTTTATATGTTTTCTTCTTTGAATGATTTTCTAGAGAATGGATTGAAGGGAAAACTTGGAAAGCCTGCTAATTTAGATTGGATTTCCACATCCACACCGGAATCTCTAACAACCGGTGAATCCGCATTCAAGGTTACATTTGATTGGGATGATGAAGAGATGGGAACACCAGGAGCATTTTTAATAAGAAACAATCATCACAGTGAGTTCTACCTCAAAAACTTGACACTTAAACATGTTCCTGGTCAAGATGATGATATCTACTTTGCCTGCAACTCTTGGATATACCCTGCTAAAAACTATCAAAAAGACCGCGTTTTCTTCTCCAACAAGGTATATCTTCCAAGTGAAACACCAATGCCACTAATGAAGTACAGAGAAGAAGAGTTAGAAACTTTAAGAGGTGATGGAATGGGAGAGCTTGAAAAATGGGATAGGGTTTATGATTATGCATTCTACAATGATTTGGGAAATTCCGATAAGGGTCCAGAACATGCTCGTCCTATTCTCGGAGGGTCTATCAAATATCCCTATCCTCGTAGGGGAAGAACCGGTAGAAAACCTGCAAAATCAGATCCTAACTATGAGAGTAGGCTGGATCTTGAGTTGAGCTTAAAGATATATGTTCCGAGGGATGAAAGATTCGGTCATTTAAAGATGTCTGATTTTCTCGCTTACGCGTTGAAATCCATAGTTCAAGTTCTAAAACCTGAACTGGAATCTCTATTTGATAGCACACCGAATGAGTTTGACAGCTTTGAAGATGTACTCAAACTCTATGAAAGTGGGATTGATGTGCCTGAGGGTTTGCTTAAGGATGTTAGGGATAACATCCATGGAGAGATGCTTAAGGAAATTTTCCGAACTGATGGGGAAAAGTTCCTCAAATTTCCAATGCCTCAAGTGATTGCGGCGGATAAATCTGCGTGGAGAACAGATGAAGAATTTGCTAGGGAGATGCTGGCTGGTATAAACCCTGTCATGATCTGTAGTCTCCAAGTAAGTTTTAGTTTTTATAGTTACTTTGAAACAATATCATATCTTAATGATGAACTTCCTATGAGTTATTTTTCCTCATAATCTCCTAAATAACTGCAGGAGTTTCCACCACAAAGCAAGCTAGATCGTCAATTCTACGGTGATCAATCCAGTAAAATAACCAAAGAACACATTGAAATTAATCTGGACGGGCTCACTGTGGATGAGGTAAAGTTCAAGTTGATATAATATTTGTGTTTTTGCAGCAAAATCTACTCAATGTTAGGATACATGATATCTATTTCTTTTTGATTGAATAGGCAATTAGAGAAAGAAAATTGTTCATATTAGATCACCATGATTCACTGATGCCATATTTAAGAAGGATAAACTCCACCTCTACAAAGACATATGCTAGTAGGACAATTTTGTTCTTGCGAAAAAATGGAACTTTACAGCCACTTGCCATTGAGTTGAGTTTGCCGCATTCCGAGGGAGATCAATACGGTGCCATTAGTAAAGTTTACTTGCCTGCAAAGCAAGGAGTTGAGAATTCCATTTGGCAATTGGCCAAAGCTTATGTCGGAGTAGTTGACTCCGGCTATCATCAGCTTATCAGCCACTGGTAGGAGTTTACGACTCGTAATTCTAACCAAACTTAGTCGTGGTTCATATGTCATTGTAATTAAATTTTTATGTCTTACATGTATGACAGGTTGCATACTCATGCTGTCGTTGAGCCGTTTATCATAGCTTCGAATAGGCAACTTAGCGTGCTTCACCCTATTCATAAGCTCTTGCATCCTCACTTTCGCGATACCATGAATATAAACGGACTCGCAAGACAGATCCTCATCAATGGAGGTGGTGCTCTAGAGTCGACCGTTTTTCCATCGAAGTACTCTATGGAGTTTTCTTCCTTTCTCTATAAGGATTGGTCTTTCCCCGAGCAAGCACTTCCTCAAGATCTTCTCAAGAGGTAGTATTAGTAAAACCATTATCATTACAAATAGCTTTATGTTTTTATTTCATTTTATTGATCAATTACTTCATCTTTGCATCTTTTAGAGGAATGGCGCTTAAGGACTCGAGTTCTCCACACGGTCTTCGATTATTAATCGACGACTACCCTTACGCGGTTGATGGACTTGAGATTTGGTTTGCCATCAAGACATGGGTTACGGACTACTGCTCCATTTACTACAGGGACAATGACTCGATCAAGGAAGACTCGGAGCTCCAATCTTGGTGGAAGGAAATAATCGAAAAGGGTCACGGTGACAAGAAAGATGAGCCATGGTGGCCAAAGATGCACACACTTGAAGAACTGATTGAAGCCTGCACTATCATCATATGGATTGCCTCAGCTCTCCATGCAGCCGTCAACTTTGGACAATATACATACGGAGGCTTTCCGCCGAGTCGTCCTTCTATGAGCCGACGACTTATGCCTGAAAAAGGAACTCAAGAATACAATGAACTTGTGGAAAATCCTGACAAGGCTTTTCTGAAAACAATAACTTCACAATTTCAAGCTGTTCTTGGAATTTCTCTAGTGGAAATATTGTCAAGACATGCTAGTGATGAGGTCTACCTTGGAGAGAGAGACACTCCATATTGGACTTGTGATGGAAAGGCAATGAAGGCTTTTGAAAAGTTTGGAAGTAAACTTAGTGAAATTGAGAAAAGGATTGAGATGATGAACAATGATGAGAAACTTAGGAACAGGTTTGGTCCAGTGAAGATGGCATACACATTGCTTAAACCTAGTAGTGAAGGTGGATTAACTGGCATGGGGATTCCTAATAGCATATCAATTTAATATGGCTTAGGTTGTCTTGTTTTTAGTTATTTAATTCCTATGTTTTTTTGTTTTCACCACAATATCCGGTCTATTGGATCGATTAATCCAGTTCGAAGGTCTGTTGTGGTATCTAGTGGTTCCAATTTCCTCCAATCGCAGTTGCAGAAGATTGAATTGTGGTCCTCCAGTCCAACGTCAATTACCTGATATATTCAATTTCTATGTTTAAAAGTAGTAGTATTGAAGTTGGAAATTTTAGTTTTTATTTTAGAATAGACAAGTAAAGTCTTTTACAGTTTTACTATTTCTTCATTATGGTGTGCTGCAACTTGTTATAAAGTATGTTCTTTGTTTTACTTCACTTCTCTGGTCGACGAGTACATGTTTTCATTGCCAAATTATGTAGTCATTTGCTTTAACTTTTGAATATTTTAGTTTTCTTCCTTCTTTCTATTTAGTAACATAAAAGCAAAACGAATAAATAGATATGTGATTTTGATCGAACTTTAGTGTCGATAAGGGTATCTTTTTTATTCGATAGAAGTCATGTATGATGTAGTCGAAGTCTGCTCAAACATGCAGTAGTCGAAATGCTAGAAATATTAGTATATTGAATTGGGTCTTACTTGTAAGTTCAATTGTTATGTTAACTTATAGTTTAAGTTAACTTACTAATCTATAAATAGACTAGTTCTCTCAATTTGTTAAGAGAGATTAATTGTTGTTATTCACTTGTAATTTTTGAACCCTTATTGAAAAAATGAATAGTAAAATACTTTAAACCAATTTTAGTTCTGCTTCTTCTTTCTAATGCTTCTTTTGTAAAATTTAATAGGGTTTCTTGTGTTTGTTTAAGAAACTAAATCTTTCTCATATTTTGATTTGTTTTTTACGACATCGATTTACAACAAATTGATGCGGTGAGCGTGGAGGAGAAGATGTCATCAATAAAATATGAGATTAAGAAATTCGTCAGAATGAATGATTTTGGTTTATGGCGCTTGAAGATGCAAGTACTATTGGTTCAACAGAGTTTGTTAGAAGCGTTGAAAGGATCAGAGAAGATGAATGTTGCCCTAACGGATAAGGAAAAGAAGACGATGATCAAGAAAGCCCACAGTGACATTGAGCCTTGGTGATAAGGTTCTCCAGCAAGTTTCAAAGGAAAAAATCGTGGCTAGTGTTTGGATGAAACTCAAAGGTCTGTACATGACGAAATCGTTGGTCAATCGCCTCTACTTGAAGCAAATTTTTTATTCATTTAATATGAGTGAAGACAAAGTCTTGGTTGAGCAGTTGGATATGTTCAACAATTTGATTCTTGATCTTGAAAATTGAGGTCAAGATTGATGACGAAGATCAAGCATTTATGTTGTTGTGTGCTTTACCTAAGTCTCATGGTCACTTCAAAGAAACTCTCTGGTATGGAAAAATTCACTGACCTTTGAAGAAGTTCAATCAGTCTTGTACTTTAAGAATTTGAACGAACGAAAGGAGTACAAGCTCTCTTCTGTTGGTGAAGATTTCTCCGTTAAAGGGAAATTCTTGAAGAAAGATGGTAGGTTTGAGAAGAAGAAGAAGGGTAAAGTTCTACAAAATTCTTATGGTGGTAATGCTCATGCAATTAGGTGTTATCATTGTAAGAAGGAGGGTCACACAAAAAATATGGACCCTGAGCGTATGAATAATCATGGTGGAAAGGATAATGGTAATGTGGCCATTGTGTAAGATGATTATGAATCATCTGATGTCCTATTGATTTCAAGCAGTGACTCTAGCAATGAGTGAATTATGAATTCAGGTTGTACTTGACACATGACTCTAAACAAAGACGCGTTTGGGGAATTATATGATCAAGATGGTGGATCAGTGTTATTGGTAGACAACAAAACTTGCAAAATTATAGGTATTGGATATGTGAGATTAAAGTTCTATGATAAGTCAATAAGGCTATTGACTGATGTCAGATATGTACTTGACCTTAAGAGAAATTCTGATTTTTTCGATGAATTCGACAAGAAAGGATATATTTTCAAAGGAGATCAAAGTATCTTAAGGGTAATGAAGGAGTCGGAGTAAGTCTTGAGAGGCATGAAGAAACAAGACTTGTATACTCTTAAGGTTAAGATTGTAAGTGCTTCAATAGATGTGGCATCCACAAAACCTGTGTTGAAGATTGAGCTATGACACAAGAGACTTGGGCATGTCAGTGAAAGAGGCCTGGTCGAATTTCAAAACAAAATTTTTTGTGTGGTGACATGGTAAAAAAAACTAGAGCTTTGTGAACCTTGTGTATTTGGTAAATCCTGTAAAGTGAAGTTTAACAAAGGTAAACAAAGAATAAATGGACCCATTTATTACATTCGTGCTGACCTTTTGGGGCCTGCAAGGAATCCTTCACACTCAGATGCAACGTATTTTCTACCCATAGTTGATGATTATTTCAGAAATTTATGGGTATACATCCAGAAGACTAAGGATGAAATTTTTGAAAATTTCAAAAGTTGGAAGACTTTGGTTGAAAACCAACTAGCATGAAGGTCGAGAGGTTGAGGATCGACTATGGTCATAAATTTTGCAATGAGGCTTTCAACAGCTATTGTGCTGCATTTGGTATTATAAGGCACAAAACTACTACAAGTACTTCCGAACAAAACAATTTAGCTGAAAGGTTTAATCGAACCATTCTAGAAAGGATGGTGCGCATATTGGTAAGTGCAGAATTGAAGAAGGTGTTTTGGGCAGAAACTGATGTGACTCCAACATATATGATAAATAGGTGTCCTTAGTCTGCCTTGGGAATAAAGACATCTGAAGAAGTCTGGACGAGAGATCCACCTAGTCTCGACAGACTTAGAGTATTTGGTTGTTTAGCATGTGCTCACATTAGACAAGGTAAGGTCGAACCTAGAGTTTTTAGATGTATGTTCCTTGGATACTCTAAAGGAGTCAAAGCTTATAGGTTGTGGTGCGTAGAGCCAGATCACAGGAGGTGCATCATAAGTCGTGATGTAGTTTTCAATGAAACTGAGATGGCCTTCAAGAGAACATATGGCATTAGTCGAAGTACCAAGATCTCTAAAGAGGAGTTGGAACAGGAAGAGATTCTTGTTGAGGTGGAGCATGGTAATACTGAATTGCATAACCCAGATGAAGTCAAAGAAGAAGCACAAGGTGCCGATGAAGATGAGGAAATCGATAATGACCAACTGTTGGCAAGAGACAAGTCAAGAAGAGTCATCAAGCCACCTCATAGACTTGGTTACGAATATCTCATGGCTTATGCCTTAGTCTCTGCAAGTGAGGTTGTGGATGAATAACCTATAGACTATAAGGAATTTATGAGGAGCCGAGAAAATACTGAATGACTTAAAGCCATGGATGATGAGATGAAATATCTTCACGATAATAACACTTGGGAGATGATTAAGAAATCTGCAAGAGCCAGATTAGTCAGTTGTAAGTGGATTTTCAAGGTCAATGAAGGAATCGAAAGAGTGATGTCAAAATGATTTAAGGTAAGGTTGGTTGCTAGGGGTTGACTGAAAAATAAGGTGTCGACTTCAATGATGTGTTCTCAACTATTGTAAAGCATATATTCATTCAAATGCTACTTGCTATGGTGAGAAAGTTTGACCTAGAACTTGAACAAATGGATATGATGACAACCTTCTTGTATGGTGATCTAGATGAAACAGTTCTGATGAGGCAACCTTAAGGGTATGCAGAAAAGGGAAAGGAGGGTTATGTGTGCAAACTGGATAGGTCTTTGTATGGCCTGGAACAATCTCCTCGACAATGAAATAAAATATTTGACAGGTTCATGGCACACATAGGTTTCATACAGAGCCAGTTCGACCACTATGTTTACTTCAAATTTTGACCTGGAAATTTACTTGTTACTTTGTTGCTTTATATGGATGACATCCTCATAGAAAGCAACAATATCGAAAATGTTATGAAGGTGAAGGCTGAAATCGATAAGGAGTTCGACATGAAATATTTGGGAGCTGGCTCTAGAATTCATGGGATTGACATTCAGAGAGATAAAGAGCAATCGATGTTATGCTTATCTCAAGAGACATACCTGAAGAAGATTCTCAATAAGTTTGGTATGTCGAATTTAAAGCTTATTCTAACACCGACTAATCCTAAATACAAGCTAAGTACGATTCAAAGTCCTAGTACTGAAATTGAAAGAGACTATATGAATAGCACTCCATATGCTAATGTAGTAGGTTCTTTGATGTATGTTATGGTCTGTACGATTCCAGACATAACATATGCATTGAGCCTTGTAAGCAGGTACATAGCCAATCCTTGGAAGGCGCACTAGCAAGCATTAAAGTGGATTCTAAGGTACATTAATAGGTCTTTGAGCAAAGTTCTGATTTCTAGTGGAGCCTATGGTGATGATAACAAAGTTGAAATAGAAGAATTTGTCGACTCTGATTATGTAGGTTGTATGAATTCCAGAAAATTTATTTTTGGATATGTGTTCACTATGTTTGGCACAACAATAAGTTGGAAAGCAACACTTCAGAAGGTTATTACCTTATCAACCACTAAAGCAGAGTATATTACTCTCCCTGAAGTTGTAAAAGAAGCACAGTGGCTTGAAGGTTTTGATAAGGAGCTAAAACTTCAAGGTCGAGTTATAATTGTTAAATTTGATAGTCAAAGTGCAATACATCTGTCAAAGAATTTAACATATCATTAGCAAACCAATCACATCTATGTGATGTTGCACTTTGTTTAAGAGACAATCGAGCGTAGAGAAGTCCAACTGCTGAAGATTTTGACTGATGACAATGATGCTAATATTATCACCAAGACATTGCCAAATAGCAAGTATTGGGATATTTAACTAATTTAATAATTATTGGGATTATAGAGTTGAGAGCAGAAAATAAAATAGGATTTATTTAAATTATTAAAGATAATTAAATAATTTTGATTATTTTGTAATAATTGGAGAAAATGGAGCTATTATGAATAATTCACATTTTTTAGAATTT